ACTCCGTGCTCGCCGGCAAGATCCTCGACCTAAGGTAGCTAGCTGTGTGTGTGTCTTTGTTGTTAGGATTTGACTGCACGAACCGGTTGCGGCTGAAAACAGACACTGCTTCTAAAGGCCATCTGTGTGTGTGGTGAAAAGGGTGTACTTTGTCTCTCATGTCTACGTTTGCCACAACGCGAAATGGCGTCCTCGCTTGCTTGTCTCATGCTGCTACCCGTGCCTATTGGGCGCAACTCCCCCAAACCCTCTATAGGTGGTCTCGGTTCTGCTCGAGGCTCGAGGAAGACTCGCTCGGGCTGGTCGTAGCGCGGGACTTGGGAGATCCGACGGCAATCACGGCCGCCGCTGGAGACCCGCCGCACCCGACCTCCGTTACCGCTCGAGGCGGCGACGCGGCCGCGGCGACGAAGGTGGCCTCGCTCGTGGCGCCTCTGCTAGCCTCGCGGGGGCTTGGCGACGCTCGCGTTCTCCGCGTTGTGGCCTTGTCCCCGTGCAGCGGCAGCGGCGACGGCCCGGGCAGCACCAGTGCTGACAGCCACCGCCGCCGTTCGAGAGGCTTCGGACCGGGTACGGTCGACCACAACGGGGGTGGGCGCGCGTTGTCGCTCGGCGGGCAGCGCGGAGGGGATGGCAGGGGGACCGGCGGCGGCGGCGGCGGCGGCGGCGGCGGCGGCGGCGGCGGTGATGTCGTCAGGACGCTGCGAGAGGCGGCGGTGCAATGCGAGAAAGCCGGGGGTGAGAACATCTCCGCCTCCGCGGCGGTGGTTCTTGCCGTCCCCGCGGGGACCTCTCCCCCGGCCGTAGCCGACGTCGTCCGCAGGGCCGTTCTCTGCGCGAACGGCGGTCTGGCTACTGCGCTGCTGTCTTGCAAGGATGACGACGACGACGCTGCGGTTTCCGAGAGTCGGAGTCATGGCAGCAGCGGTGGTGACCGTGTGGCGTTTCGGTCGATTCCCGGGGGGCCGAGAAGATGGTCGGCGGTTGTCGGGCCGCCGGACGCTGCCGCCGTCGGGAAAGGTTCGCTGGCTTCCTGTAAGGGGAGTAGCAGCGCAAAGAAGACGGACCGGGAAGGGGGCGGCGGCGGCGGCAGCGGCTGTGGTAACCGGTGTACGGTGGTGGAGGCGGAGCCCGGATTGCTGCTGAGCTCGTCTCACCTCTTGTGGACGCTGTGGCCTCCGCTTGACACGAACGCCGTCCACGAAGGCCATCCGCGTCGAAGAAGCGGCGGCGGCGGCGGCGGTGGTGGTGGCAGCGCCGACGCTAGCAGCGGAGCAGCAGGAGAAGAGGCAGGGCAGGGCGGGTCAGCACGGACTACCACAGACAGCACGGCGGGTGGGAGATCAGGGGGCTGGGCTGCTGCTGCTGCTACTACAGGGGAGGATGGTGGGTGCGGTGCCGAAGACCGAGCTCGCAGCGGTGGCCACGGCAGCAGCATCGGCGGCGACGGCGGCCGGCGGCGAGATCTCGATCGAGAGGTGGCCTGGATCGGCGTGGCGCCGGTGGGATCTCGCGTGTACTACTGCCTGGAGGAGGCCGAATGGGAGGCTTCACGGTGGCGACGACGGCGAGAGAGAGAACTCCCGTCTTCCTCCCCCTACCCCGTCACGACGACTACCGAGCGCGACGAAGGAAGCCCGCCGCCGCAGTCGGCGGTAGGCGGGGGGGACGCGGTGTGTGACGGGGCAGGGGGGGGGCACGCCGACCCGAAAGGGGGTGGTGGGCAGGGGAGGTACACGGAGGGCGCCGGTAACGCCGGCAGCAAGGACGACAGGACGGCAGCGTCGCTGTTCGCGAAGAGCGTGTCGGCGATGCTCGCAGAGACGTACCTTCGTCCGAATCCCCCTTGCTCTGGCGGTAACGCGGTGGAGTCCCGTGTATTGGAGCGGGAGGAGGTTTCTGCACAAAGCGAACGTCTAGTAACCCCAAAACACGTGGGAGGTGAAGACCTGCTGCGCGCGAATCAAGCGACCGTGCCGGCAGAACAAGAAACGGTAGTAGGAGTACGAGGCGGCGACGAACACCTCGACGGCAGCTTCTGGGAAGCGTTCGTAGGCGGTGGCGGGGGGGGGTGCTCGTCGGGCCCATCCTTTGTGGTGAGCGGCACCGTCGACGACCACCGAAAGCGGGGGCGGTTGAAGGCAGCACCTGATGGCGGCGGCGCCGATGACGACCGCCGCCTGGAAGCCCTTGCCTCCGTCCCGGATGTTCTTGTTGCAGGACCCGGAGCGGAAAGACCAGTAGGAGATCATGATATTCGCCGGGCCGGAGACCACTCTTCCCGCGAAACGCTGGCGTCGGGAGGGGAGCGCGGTGGCCTCAGCGGTAGCGGCTCGAGCCCAGTACCACAAGTAGTAGGAGCGTCAACAGTAAACGCGGCGGCGGCTACGGCCGCGCCGCCGACCCCGCCGCGGCGACGACTTCACTTTGCCCCCGCCGGAGTCCTGCAGCTCCTCGGAACGCCTCACTACCGGGAGTTCGTGAAAGCGCTCCCGCCCCCGGCCCGCGCCCATGTGCTTGCCCTGACCCAGGTCTTTCCGGACGGAACGCTCCCACCGATCGGCCACCTCTACGTTCCCCTCGCGCCTGCTCGCCCGGGAAAGGACACCCTGACGGCGGGGTCGGGTCCTCCATTGCTCGGAGCGCTCGTGCAGCCCCTCCCCGCGAGAGCGGTGCGCGAGCTGCTGCAGATCTACGTGGCCACGACCCGGGCGGTCGGAGAGGCCGAGGGAGGGAGCGGCGGGGGCGGGGTCCGGCGGCGGCGCCGCTGCCGCCGCACGTCGGGGCTGCTCGCCGCGGCACCACCACCGCCTCCGCCAACACCGTTGACGGCTCGAGACCGCGGCGTCGTCCGAAGCGGCTGCGACGACGACGCCAGGACGGACGACGGCGGTCCTACCGAGAGCCGGCGCTGGAGCAGCGGAGGCCCGGGCGGGCGGGAAGAAGGAAGCCCCGGCGAGGGTGGTGGCTGTAGCGGTGCTGGCGGCGGAGACCGGGCTAACCTTGCGGCGACGCCACCGTCCGCGGTCGACGTGCTCCCGGACGAACCGCCCACGAGCAGCAGCGCCCCGCCGGTCGGAATCGGCCGGCCCGGCACGCGGCCGGCGGCCCCGGCGTGTCCCGGCGATGGTGTTGAGGGCGCCGACGGTGGGCCTACCAGTAGCGGCGGAGAGGTTCCTGCCGACAACGTCGAAGACGACGCGGAGGCGGCCTGGAGTGCTCGCCGCCGCCGGACCCCGCTTTGCTCGACGGCCGACTCCGGGGCGGACGCGCCGATATCGTCGTCTCTCCGCGCGCCGTTCCGCCACACGTACGTCGCCGTGCTGGCCCCGCCTCCGGCGCAACCACCGTCGCCGTGTTCGGCGGCGGCGGGCAACGGTGGTAGCGGGGGCGGCAACGGGCAGAGCGTTACTACCAACAAAGCCCGCGCCGCCGACTGCGGCAGGGGTCAGACTCCCTTGTCGGGGGCGTCGGCTCTCATCTTGCAGCTGGAAACCCCGGTAACGGCAACAGGCTCGTCGTTGTCGTCGTTCGGTGCCGTTCAAGACCGCGGGCCGTGTGGTGCGGCGGCTGCGGTGGCTGGGCGTGGGAACGGTGACGGGGCGGTGGTGGTGGGTGGAAC